ACGTTAAGTCTTACATATCAATCAATCAATCAATCAATCAATCAATCAATCAATAAATAAATAAATCAATTAATCAATCATTATGTGCTTACTCTATATTCATTAGTGTTCGTTAGTGGTGCTGAACCTATCGTTTACTTGCGAATTCGAATGCGCTGGCGCGTTATACACAGTACTGCCGCACTCGTCTCTCAAATTTTGTTACCGCCCCATTACACGCGTAAGTGTGGTCTTGCGCAACCCCGCCGATTGCCGACGAACCATCGAGATAATCGTAGAACCTTGCAATGTAATTACGCGCAACACGACCATCAAATTCTTGTGGAACTCGCGTGGCCGCTATAGCGATAACGCTGGAATACTCGATGGCACATGTAGCACATGTATAAATGCCGACGCGCTTCACTGACTCACCGTCTTCAGTGGAACGACGGTCGACGCTCTGTTCGCGGCGGTCAGTGCCGTTGTGTATAGTTGTAATGTAACTTTCTGTTTACCGGCCACAAGTACGACCAAACAGTTTCTTTTTTGTGTTGCCTTCGCCGACGTCACGACCACGTTATACAGTACTATGCAGCACTTAATGTCTTTCCGCAGTATCAGCACCACCGAAATAAAACATGTTTTCCTATGTGATTCTTGAAGAGAATAGTGAGCTCCGTAACTGTCTGCATCAGAGTGCGACACTTCAACAGTAGCTCACGAGGGAGGGGGGTGAGGAGGGATTAAAAAGATAGGAATAAAGGTATAGAGATAGAGAAGGGGAAGGAGAGAGCGTGGCGCAGGGACAGCCACACATAGAAGCAAGGAGAAGATAGGAAAGAAGATGGACACGGTCGCAGGAGTCCGAGGACGGGGCACCAGTCAGCTAGAGCTCTTGTCGGCGGCAGCAGATGGCGTAGGGTGAGCCAGTCGGCTAGAGCTGCGCCGTCGTCGGAGATCGCGGGGGCACAATCGGTCGGCACGAAATCCAGAGAGCGAGTCTAAAACTTGTTCCTGTATGTGCATCACGTATACTTGGATACTTTCCTCGTGTTTTCGCAAATCTCTCTCCGCAATATTAGGTTACGTCAACGGCAAATGTATCTCAGGCCCGGCCGCGGTGGTCTAGTGGCTAAGGTACTCGGCTGCTGACCCGCAAGTCGCGGGTTCAAATCTCGGCTGCGGCGGCTGCATTTCCGATGGAGGCGGAAATGTGTTAGGCCCGTGTGCTCAGATTTGGGTGCACGTTAGAGAACCCCAGGTGGTCAAAATTTCCGGAGCCCTCCACTACGGCGTCTCTCATAATCGAATGGTGGTTTTGGGACGTTAAACCCCAGAAATCAATCAAATGTATCTCAGTGTATTTTGGACATTCAACGCGCGTATTTCGATATCTCTTTTCGGGAAGGCTTTTCGGAGTATCTTCGCCAAGCCCTGGAATAAGAAGACAGAAACGTTACCTGTGACAAAAAACTTCAATGTTCTCAATGTGGTGATTACAGGGTGTAATAGTCACAGCTGATCGCGGTACTGTAGCTGAGGCGGGCTTGTGGTAAGGAGCGGGTGCGTTCCGATGCATTAGGCGTGGGTATTTCCGTAATAACGTTGACCCTGAAATGTTTTGTGGGTCACGATGAGGAGACGTCATCACGGGAGTGTTTTAATAATAATGGGTTCGTTATCGTAGGAGCTATAGATACGGAGGAACACACAAAGTGTCATGGTACCATGCCTCTTACCGTCCGCAGCCTGCGATGTACTCTTCAGCTTCCTATCGTGGGCATAGTTTGTTTGGGGTTCTTTCATGGAGAGTCGCGCGCAATCGAAATACGTGCAAGTTAGAGCTATGCGTCCTTTCGCTTTTTGTTTTTTACCGGTGTACCGAATGTCGAAGTGATATAAACAAACCGCATAATTGCGGATGCGATACTGTAATCTAAAATTACCGCTAGCATAAGCTTGGTTCTGCTTTGCCGTTTCTTATTCACGCTTCTTCTGGCTATGCGTGACGGTACTTGACTTGTAACCGGTCGGACCTATAGCCCCGATCTTCACGCCCTTGTGACGAACCTTGCCTGTTGCTTTTTTTGTTTTATTCCGCATCCCATTGTGCTTCGCGGACGGTGCATTTGTGGTGGTGACGTTGCGCGTTTCGCATGGTACGAATAATATAGTGATGTGACGAGGTCGATGACGTCGAAAGTTGTGCGTAATTGTTGTGTGGTGTGAGCCTCGGGGTGTCTGAGCCTTGATTGTCTTTTGAAGCCCGCTTCTCCTTCGAAATAAAAAAAATACGTGGAAATTGATGTTCCCACGTTGCACAACCGTTTCATACTTCCAGCACATGACTGCCGACGAGCCATCTGTGCAAGCCGCGCTGTTGAAACTTGATTCATGCAGCGTTTTAGCGCATTGCATGAATTTCTTTACAGACTAGGTACCGCGCGCCCTCTATGTGAAGGCTAAGAGCGAGCAGCGAGAGGTGGAACGTGGGCCTGTGGAAGCTGTGGCCGACAGGTGCTTCTTACCGTTAGCTACAAGCAAGCTTCGTTCATGTTTGGAGTATAGCACAAGGACCGAGCACGCAGTTTGACTATGTTAGGCATCATCACGACGTCGGTCTTTGCATATTTCTGCAGAAAGCAGCAGCTGAAGTGGCCGACTCGGCCATAGATAAGTGTAGTTGCGTGGCAACCAAACCTATGCACGTGTCTCCTAGCGCAATTTTTCACAGAATAGAAACGGCTGACTAACTAGTTTTCTTCGTACTCCCACTCCAAGTGCACCGCGTGTCTCCTGGAATTCGTCATAATAGGGCACAAAGTAAAAAAAACAGTCAGAGGACCCCTTTTGCGTTCGTCTCAGACTGAGGCAAAAACCACCTTCTTTTATCCGCCGCCGCCTCCCTCCGAAAGCATTTCTGCACATATAACGTGTCTTCGCTCTGCCTATAACTTTAATCGGCTCATTTTTGACGAAGCGACGTCGTCTTATGGTGACAGCGTTACGTTATCCCACGTCATAGTGACGTCATAATCTTTGGCGCTGGGTGACGTTGTATGACGACGCCATCGCCTGATGGTGATCTTTTGCACCACATTCCTGTTGTCGTCGACGCCTCGGGGTGCTGACGGTGCATTTCGTCAACTTTCGCGTTTTACAAGGAATATGAGGCTTTCGGCTTTAAGAGGAAAGCCTCAACGGTGAAGCTCACGTAAGAAATGACTCGAAGCTTGCCCTAACCCGCGCAATTATTGATCGATACGCGCTGATACTGATCGGTCTCATACTTTTTTTGCTTTATCTATATATAGGCAGAACCTTTGTTTGAACTTTCTCTTTACCTTGGTTGTGGTGATGTTGTACTGTTGCTTGAACTTTGATGTAACAACGTTGAACTTTTGCTGGTACATGGCTGTAGCGAGATTGAACTGTGCCCCCCGTTCGCTATGGTATTCTCTCGCTGTATGCACCGATACTCTTCAGCTCATCACCATCGGTACGCAACCAAATCTGCTGGGCTAAATGTAGCCTTCCTCATTCTTGTAGGCCCGTGTGCACGTTAAAGAACCCCAGGTGGTCAAAATTTCCGGAGCCCTCCACTACGGCGTCTCTCATAATCATATGGTGGTTTTGGGACGCTAAACCCCACATATCAATCAATCAGCCTTCCTCATTCTTGTGAAAGTTGCGTGCAGTATGGGGTTCACCCATTTTCAGCGACACGCACCCGTTTATGATAATGGTAGTTTTCTAACAGGCCGCACAAATATTTGCGGCGTATGCCCGTTTGTTGGGCTGTTGCCTTTTTCACTTTTAGTGTAGTACTGGTCAATAAAGTGGGAATTAAGTACGCATAGCCGTTTATGATGATGATAGCTTTCTTTTTGGGGGCGGGGGAAGGACACGTAAAGGGTGAACAAGCAATGATCTGCTAAACAGCGCTGCAGTTAAATGTTGGGACATGCTCGAGCTTTGATTCGACAGTGGAACGCTGTACACCCGTCCGAATATCGATATGAGTGCCCCTGGTGCGGAGGGGTACCCACACTTACATTACTTACAGCTTTCTCTCACGTCCTGTTGCGGCAAACTCGGCGCTCATACAAGCACACACATTATCACACTGGTCGTGGGAGGCGCGACTCTCGGGTCAGGCCTTGGGAAGCCAATTGGCAACCCTGGACCAGGCCCGGCGAGCCGCTATAGCCAGTGAAGCTCTGGACGAAGGTCCCCACCCACTTTAGTTACCGGCAGTACTACGTTTATTCTTCTCTCTCTCTCTCTTCCAATAAGTAGGCCCCTAAATCACTTACTATATACCTCGGCAGCTATGCATGTCTTGATGCCTCGCGTCATTATACGCTTCTGCCACGCTACATTACACGCGTCAAGGAGACTCCTCGGGTTACGTGGCATTCGTATAATTTTTTTTTTTATTGGAAGCATTTTCAAGCGATGGCGTGGCTCTGTGGCACCTGCTTGCCATTCGGAAGGCTTGGTTGGATACCTGTACTCGAACTATTGTTTTTTTTATTTATTTATTTCTTAAATAATTTATTTATTTTAATCATTCAGTCAGGCACTCAGGTAAACTTTTTAAAGTTTATTTGCATCTACATCGATAGGATAACGCTTATTTTTCGCTCACAAAGAACGTTCGCGATTTCTGAGGAACGAGCTTTAATTTTCTACGCCGTCGCGTTATTCGGCATTCTGTATGTCTTGCACAGCGCGCACTGCGGTAGCACGTGGCCGCTCTATTCTGCGAATTGCTGCACGTGCAACACAATAAGCGCATCAACCGTGCTAGCTACTATATGAATCGCCTATCGCGAGCACCTACGGGCTATCTGTTGCGCATTTTGTGATTACATTTTAGTTAGTTCGTATCGCGGATACACTCTCTTAAAATCGACGTAGCCAACAAGCAGCAATTTAACCCTCGCGCCTTACGGCGTATATGTAAGCCCGTCCCACTGTGCGGCCACTATCGCTGCCGGCGTGTGCACTCCCTGGTCGTCGCCTTCGCGCGCTCTTGCTCCTCGAGGTCTTTCGATCATGGCAATGCCTGAGGCGCAGCCGTACCGCGTCGCCGTGGCGACCGTCTCGGGCGACGTGGAGTACCATCGCGTGCTGTTCGCCGGGGAGTCGCCGCCCAAGCGCCTGGTGTGCGCCCTCTGCCGAACCGTGTCGGCCACCGAGCCCCGGTACGCGAGGGCCAGCGGCGGAGACTTCGCGTGTCGCACGTGCGCCGGCATCTACGCCCAACCGACCCGGCGCGGCCGCGGGGACTCGGCCGAACTCGAGGGGCTCCACGACAGTGATTGGAATAAGCTGCCGCAGCCCCGGCACTCTTTCGACGGTGACGTCAGGCTCCTCAACGATTCCCAGGTCAGGTTTAACGCCATTAGAACTTGATTTCGACCTGGTGTGTTCAACATCTGCCCCTGCTGCGCCCACACAGGGGTAAAAGCGCCTCCAATGTTCCGCGATACTTAATCTCGGCCTGTGATTGATGCCGTTAACTTTTCAATCTCATCTACCCTCCTAACTTTCTTATATCCACCTCGCGCGTTGGCTTTCCTTTTGATTCAATAGCTGCATTGTTAATGGTTTCCTTGCCTACTTGCTACGAGCCCTGCCTGTGAAGGAAAGCAAAGTAAATTTGAGGGCTCGTTTTTTTTTCTTTGTTAGATTTACATTTAAACGTAGGAGTGCCAGTCAGCGCCGCCTGTTGTCATTGCGTCTGCCCTTTCTAGTTCCGAAGCATCTTAGCGGCCCGGCTTGTCGGCGTCTGCTGTCGTCGCACGCCTCGGCAGCCACGAGTGGCATGCCGAGGCGTGCCTTCAAAAAAGCGTTTTTATCATAGCAAACGAAGCACAAAATGGTCATCAATATCTGCCTTCCCGGTGATCACAGTGCCCCCCCGCCCCCTTGAAAAACTCTGCCTAGTCCCCTGAGCTGCTCCCGGAGATGCTTGGCGTCGATGTAGTGAGGATTCAGGCGTAGTTTACTTGTGTTTGTACGCATTTTCATATAACTAATTGATCATAAGTTTTACATACGCCTTCTCCGCTACAGGTATTATGCGCAAACGCTTGGCTTGGCTGCGACTTTAGAGGGAAGCTCTCCATTCTGGGCAGCCACCTTGCGTTCTCGTGCACCCGAGACGTCGTCAAGTGTCGCACCTGCGGCCGGCGAATCGTTCGCAGGGACCTTTGTCAACACGCCTGCACCAGCGGTTGTTCCACTGCGTCCACACCGAACGCGACGGAAGACCGTGCGCTAGTCTGGTCACCGCAGTTCGTCAACTGGAGCCGCCAGTCGGTCGTCCCCGACTGGGAACAAGTGTCTGCGGCGCGGACGAATCTTGTAGCCCCGGCCACGTTGAATGGTGCGGGTCCGTCCGTCATTGTCCCGGCAGTGGGCGCTAACCACAGAAACTGGCCCGGCCGAGCTCGCCCCACACTACAAGAAGCCCCCGAGTCATCCGGCCATCTTCCACCAGGCAGCCTGACCCATCTGGCCGGCACCCTGTTGGTGAGGTTCCCGGACTGTACGCCACCCTTGGGCGACGCCCTCAAGAAGACAGCTGACAGTCCGGTGCATAGCTCGCGGGTCAAGTTCTTCGGCAGTGACCAGTTGGTGGTAGACGGCTTCCGGCTCGCGATGTCCGCCATGATCTTTTACGACTTTCCTCAGCACACGAGCGGCCTGTGTTGCAACTCGCCCGCCGCTTTGGCAAAGCTGGTCGTCTTCGAGCTGCTGGCTAAGGACGACGCGAAAGGCAACGACGGCTGCCGCCGCAGGTGGCCTCCCTGGAGTAGCTTGGCCCTGACCCTTAACGGCATGCGCTGTGACGACAGCATGTCACTCCGAACCCGCGATTCTCCTGGCCTCTCGCTGTGGCCGGAGCGTGAAAGGTGGACGAGAGTGGTCACCACAGAAGCCGTCGACGCTCAAGTAGTCTCTGAGCGCTTCCTGGCCTTCGGCGTCGTTGGCGTCGCGGTAGAATTCTAGTGATATTTTGTGCTGGAGTCCTTCGTCTCGAAGTGTATGCCCCCCACATGTACCGCATTGACGCAGCGTCCTCCTCAGAGAGACGTGTTTTATCGTTTTAAACTTCTCGAATGTGACCTGAATAAAACCTTTTTATCTTATATTCAAGGTGAAGTGCCAGTTCTATCCCAAGAAACAAGTAGAACACTGTTCGCGCTTGTTTTTGGTCACGCGTGTTACGTTCGAGATATCTTCAGTCAAGGCTTTATTAAATCGCCCACGATTCGCACTGGCACTTGGTGTTAACTCGAACTATTTGTCTTACACTCTCAACTAATCCATTACGTTGAAATACTTTTTGCTGAAGACCCGTCGTATGATCGCAGAGTTGTATAGAGCACCCTCCGAGACCATTGGTTGAATTGTTTCTTCTACGAAATAATCATACGCCTCCCGCGTAGTACTTTTTTGTTATTTGGGTTCCAAAGACAGGCGGGGAATTATGAGAAAAGTCCACGAGATTGAACACTGCTATCGTGCAGGAGCGCGGTTCTCGATGGTTCTACCTTCGAGACGAGTTTTCGACGGAGTGCATTAAGGCGGGGACCACACATACGCGTTGAAGCGTGTGGATTTCTGACGCGGTGCCGCGCCCTCTACATGTCGAAAAGGAAGGCGCGCAATGCCGCGCGCCCGCTCCCTCCCTATAGGGAGAGGGCGTAGCGTTCAAGAGCCACGCGCCGATATAAGCATTGCGCCGTTCTCCCGACCGGGTTGCAGAAATTAGGTGCCTTTCTCGTCTTCTAACCACTACCACCACTACGCGCCGATACGCTGCAACGCGTAGCTGTGGTCAGGCCGTTAGTCAAAAAGCGGTGAGGCGGAACGTAATGGCGCTGTTGACCGTGTCGGCGCACCGAACCCGCCGGCACATTCCTAGCGTAAAAGAAAGTGGACAAAATTCGCAGTAACATGACACTTCAACAAACTTTACAAGTGTGTACGTGCGTGTGGACGAGTTCAGGTGCTTGATAACGATGTAGGAAACATATCGACCTGACAATTACATGGACGCTCTGCACATGTTTTCGTCGTTGCTGTCACGGTCCATATAAAATGAAAATCGATAACTTTTGTACGCGTGTCGTATGCTTTACACGCTTGTAAACGCTCGCAAACGCTAGCGAAGAACACGGCTGAAGCATAGATGGAGCAAGTTGAAGATTTGTCGCACGTAGGGCACATGCGATAACAACACCCCGCGTGCGAGGCCTGCCGTCGATTGCTGCTCAACCAGAAGTGAAGTGCCCTGTCCGTATTTATCTCGACGTCGGAGTATGGAACGCCGGGGTAGAAAGGCTGCGTGGCTCGCGCCGCAACTGTGAACTTCGACTATAAGGGTGCGGTCGCGAGTGCCAGGGAGCCTACAGCACCGGCCGGTCATCTACAGCATCCCTAGCGAGCGCTATCTCGGCAGGCGTCAGCAAACGGCTCGAGCTACCTGCAGTATGATCTGAGCGCGTGGTGCGAACGCCATCTTAAATTTTAGGGGCGAAGCTCCTTATGGCGTGGCTTGTGCGTCCCTCGTAGTACGTAACCACCAGTGGCACATACCCGAAATAGCGGTCCTTACGATTTTGACCTCCAAGGTGGTTCCGGTGAGAAATTTCTTGTGTGCGTTGTTGAACAATAAAAGATAGTGCTCAATGCACATGTTAATGGCTGCTAAGGGATAATGAGAGACAGGAGCATTCGGCCTTTAGGTAACGCGCACGCTGCGATCCCCATTAGCAGCTATTGGCATGTACATTGAGCACGATCTGACAAGAAAGTGTTGCTGCGTTATACTCGCTGGGTGTAACCTCCTTGGTTTTAGAAAGGTTTAACGAGCGTTGGGCCGCATAGCCATGAATACAGTGAAGTAGTATATACCATGAACTCGAGGTGGTTAAAGGTGGGAAATAAATCCAAAGCGCAAGCCGTAAGAAAGTGTGCATGTGCCACCTCCCGTTTAGTCCTTGAAATGTCGGCTGGATGGCGGTGCTTCTATATGGAGAATATATGATGAAAAGATGCGAGATGGTGGTACTTGGAGTGCTGAATAGATGGACGAACGGACACACAGACAGATGCATGGATGGACGCACGAACAGACGCACGCACGGGCGGGTGGATGGATGCACGGACGGTTACACAGACGTACGCAGGAATGGACGGAAGCAAGAACGAATGGACGGGCGAATGCTTCGCCCCACTCCCCATCATTCACTCCGTGGATATGCTGCCTTTTTTTTTTAACTGAGCGCGTGGGAGACTTTTTATGATTTGAACGCGTGGTGCGAACGCCACCAATTTGAATTTTTTATTCAGTGACACGTCATGAAATAACGCTAAATATATGTACAAATGTTGCAAGCACAGACATATGTCGAAGAGTTACAGTTGTTTGCTCTTGCGCAACACCAACTACTAGCAACACCAGAAGTTGTGGGTACTAGCAACACCAGAAGTTGACTTCAAGCGCTGATGCTCGCGAGGATGCTGGCCCTGGACATTGATACATTAATCAACTTCAGAGCGTGGCAGCAATTGACGTCAACCCGACGTGACGGCTTTATCAAATAAGTACATATATAATGTTTTTAAGTTTGAGTAGGCAGTACTGCAACAACTATTGACGTGTCACGAAGATTAGCGTCCATTTGGAAAGTAGTTCAGAGACCTGGTGCAGCTCTGTGGTAAATCGTTTCACTGTCACGCAGGATGCTTGGGTTGGATTCCAGTGGGGAACCTGACATTTATTCCTTGCATTCGTCAGGTCGACGCTACCGATGTCGGGTATTTCTTAACGCTCGCGCGTTAAGAATGCCCATGGGTGTTCGCGTCGTTCCTGGGTAGATACTGAGTGTCAATCACCTGTGGCACATACCCGCATACCAGTGGCACTTACCCGCCCGTGGCTATGTGCACTGTCTGGTGGGAAGTGTTTGACGACGTCCGTAACGGAATTGTGACATTATTCATGTCTTGACCAGCGCCTTATATTCGTCAAACCATCACACCCTAGTATGCTAATTTTGGTTCGCGCTAAGTTAATGGGGTGACCACGAGAGTACCCGAACGTATGCGGATATAGATAGATAGATAGATAGATAGATAGATAGATAGATAGATAGATAGATAGATAGATAGATAGATAGATAGAGGTAGATATAGATAGATAGAGATTGATATAGATTGATAAATAGATATAGATTTACAGATATAGATAGATAGATATAGATAGATAGAGATTGATATAGATTGATAAATAGATATAGATAGATAGATAGATAGATAGATAGATAGATAGATAGATAGATAGATAGAGATTGATAAATAGGTATAGATTGATATATAAAGATTGACTGATATAGATAGATGGATAGATAGATCGATAGATAGATAGATAGATAGATAGATATAGATATTGATATAGATTAATAAATAGATATAGATTGACAGATATAGATAGATGGATAGATAGCTAGCTAGATAGATAGATAGATAGATAGATAGATAGATAGATAGATAGACAGACAGACAGACAGACAGACAGACAGACAGACAGATAGATAGATAGATAGATAGATAGATAGATAGATAGATAGATAGATAGATAGATAGATAGATAGATAGATAGATAGATAGATAGATAGATACGCTCAAAGTCGTCGAAGTTCGCCAAGAAATGCTTCGCATTTTAAACTTGATGTATCTAGGGACCTTAGAGATGGAAACACTGGCGCGCCGTCACCGCTGATTTTGGCGCCGGCGCACAGGTCTATTCGGTACTTCGTGACAAATTGCTTCGATCCGTTCGAGGACACCAACCATGAAAGCAGCCTCACTGGTTCCGGCGGCACTGCTAACGCAATCCGCACCATTCTCCACAAATCAGGGCTCGACGATAACACTCTGTTGCACACCTTGAAGCAACACTATGTATCCACGGGCCCCCGTCCCGCCTACCCTGATTATCCACACGTACACGATACGCCTCTAGATGAGGACATTACAGAAACAGAGGTTAGGGCAGCTTTGCAAAGCATTAAGCGCAACACAACACCCGGTACAGACGGGATTACGTACACACTTCTGCGTAATTTAGATGACCAGTCCATCGAATATTTAACCGCTTTTTACAACGAACATTGGAAAAATGGCACGCTACCACAGGAGTGGCGACACGCAGAAATCATACTTATTCCAAAGCCTGGCAAGCCGCTATCCCTCCAGAATCTTCGCCCCATATCCTTAACCTCATGTGTACCTAAACTCTTTGAACGCGTTTTTCTCTCTCGACTACAACTATTTCTCGAAGACAATCACTTTTTTCCTGATACACTATTCGGATACCGTCCTGGTATCTCCACACAGGACGTATTATTACAGCTTAAGGAGGACGTGTTGGATAGCCCCACTTCAAACCAGGTCCGAGCTTTTCTGGCCCTGCATCAGAAGGGTGCTTTTGACAACGTCTCCCACGACCTTATTCTTGACAATCCCGCTTCATCTCAGTGTGGCTCACGTATCTACAATTACGTCAGGTCCTTTCTTTCTGACCGCACGGCCACTATTGGGATTGGAGACCTCCGTTCGGACGTCATTCGTCTCGCAGGCAGAGGAACACCACAGGGTTCGGTTCTCTCGCCCACTTTGTTCAACGTGGCTATGGCTAAACTCCCTTCCCTATTACAACAGGTTCCCAACATCCAGCACGCCATCTATGCAGATGACATTACAATTTGGGCGACCAAAGGATCAGACAGAACCATTCAGGACGCCCTACAGGAAGCTGTGTCTGTGGTACAAGACTATGCTGCTTCCGGCAGCCTTATGTGCTCAGTGGATAAGTCGGAGTTGTTATTGGTATACAAGCGGCGCCGCAAAACTGCTGATTCTCCTGGCATTTCGCTGTTTCTTGATGGCCATCCTATCCCTCTGGTATCACGAATTCGCATTTTAGGCCTCTACCTTCAGTCCGACGGCAAGGCCTCGCACACTACACACCTTCTGGCTCAGCAGATAACTCAAATTACACACATGATCCAACGCATCACCAATCGCAGGAGAGGCCTCTGTGAGAAGGATGTCCTCCGCTTAGTACAAGCACTCATAGTT